AAGTTAATGTTAGTCTACTTACTTATTGTAAATTCAATCAAATCAGCAAGAAATTCAAATCAACTTTCTTAAATGAGAAACGCAGTCTGTTTGAATAAGCAAAAAAACATACATAATTCACGTAAACAACTGAAATAAAATAGGGAGAGAAAAACAATTAGATACGAAACTGCAGGACTGACTTTGAAGGTGCATGTACCCCCTGCAGAGTATCTGTAATAACTGATGAACTATATCCAGGGTTCTTAATATCTGTTAGTAATCCAACAGATTGTGCAGTCCAGAGTTATAGGCTGAGAAAAATGCAAGGAGAGAGCTATTGAAGGCCTTCAATTCATGTCATTTGCATTTTTTGTACCAATGTGGAACTCCTCTCCACGCTGACTGGGGGTAAAGGAAGGGATTTCTGCATGATGCACTGGGAGAAAGAAAAAGTCTGACTGTCAATAACAATCCCACCCCTACTCCCACCCCACAAATAAAAGGTAGGTTCCGGTAATTCATTCTAATAACGTATTCAAAATGCATGCTACCACCGGGCGTTCATACAGTCCCCATTTGAAAATAGAAGTTATAGTTTAAGAGATGAAAGTCAAGTGTTTAAGAAGAAAGTGAATAAATGTCGTCTTGCAAAATAACCTGCTGTTCATTTTATTTCTATAAAATCTGCAAAATAATTCACTTATTTATGGTATTCTATCCGGGATTTGCAACTGAAAAAAAGCAGATTCCTCCTATTCACGAACCATTGTTCGATGCAATTGGATTCGATGGCTTATACCATTTCTAATTGAATAATTTAGTTCTACATGTAAATGACTGGTTAGGCACTTAGGCAGCCATGTCTTCCTGTACATTTCAGAAAGAAATATCGACATCAAGTACTTTCATTTGAGGGGTTTTATTGTATTTAAAGGTCTGAATTGAGAAAGATAAGTAGCTCTGGAGGATTTGTAGAAATAGGAAATAGACTTTGGCGCATTTTCAAACACGGATAGCTTACCTTGAAATTGATGGTTCATTTATTATTCGGCTCGTTCTTTTAATCATGCACTCACCTTGTGATAATTAATTCATTATTTATTTATTCATACTTTGATTTATCTGTTTAATGTCAATAGGCATTCATCTAGCTGAACACCTTGAATATATTTCCCTGACGTTCACTCCAAGCTTATTTATACCATCGGTCAAGCAACATCCGTCCAATTGCTAAGCCTATACGTACACGCAAAAATCCGATCAATGTTAGTTTTGAGAAAGAGCGTCATGTAAATATATATTTTTAAGTATTTGTTTTACACCCGGTGATGAAAAACGATTTTGAATCAATGTTTCTTTTTTAGACGCTTAGTTACGGCACGTATAGTAAAGGCACCAAGGGACTTTGTTGCTACCAACCTAATTAGTAGCCATATTGACGAATTGCTCATCTTTCCCTTACTTCTGTTTGCTTATTAGAATATTTTCAAGTTCTATTGATTTGAGGCCAACAAACACGGCAAGTTTGCGTTGGAAGAACTGATCGACAAAATTTCTTTTTGCACATTTAGATTCCGATCAATTTATTTCGTAAATATTTAGCTGACACATCTTAACCTTTTAACAGTGCGTTTTATTAACACTTGTTAAGTTACATGCACATATACACAGGTAATAGCAAAATGTTAAATCTGTTTAAGCTTTTCGTTAAACATTACGTTAACGGCTTTTGGAAATGACATATACCCAAGGAAAGGGACTGCTATACAAGTACCGGTATAACCGATGTCTCCATAGTGTAGCTATTATTATGGACTACTTGTCAGTCATATACATGTACGAAAGCTCCTAAGTGCGTTAGAGTTGTACAGGCACACATGAGCCCAGGTATATGTATAACTCTAATAATATATGGCCTTAGATCACACACACACACACACACACACACACACACAGAGAGAGAGAGAGAGAGAGAGAGAGAGAGAGAGAGAGAGAGAAATCATCAAAAAGTGATGTATGTTTTATGTTCAGTTCAAATTTGCTTTAATTTAATGACGAACTGACTAACGTGGAATCATCCTCAGATATCCGTGTATGTTAAATAAATTGCAATCTTTCCCAGACTTCCCAAGACTTGAATGGAAGAATTTCGGAAGTACTCTTTTACTTGTGTAGTTTTTACGGGTAATAAAGGCGTACTATACAGGCATATTCAACACGTCATGCTCAAAGGTTCATTGTTCATTGGACATTACCTAAAACGTCCAGCAGTGTGTTCTGTGTGCCTGGTAATTGATTCAATCTACAGTTAGAAGCTGATGATGCAAAAATGTAATAGATATATAATTTATTTGCATATTATCTATTGATTATCTTTGCACAAAAGCTAGACTTATAACATAAAGATTCTCATACCAAACATAAAAAACCTCCTCATGTTGCAAGGCAATAGACATGTACGTTTTTAATTTAAAGTACCTTCAAGGCAAGTTGTGTAGGCGTTGCTTCCCGGCCATTTGACCACGGTCAAGGCGAGTGCAGATGTTTTTTATCAACTTGATAATGATGCTCACGTATCCTGCAGGGACGTGGTTCCCAATCTGATTAAACATGCAACCTCATCCCTGCTTTAGATCTGGTGACATCAAGGGACCCTTTATCTGAAGGTGCATGCAAACACAGAACCTTAGGGTGAAGGCTGTGTTGTGTAAATCACGACAGTATTGTTGATAATAAATATACATGAATAAGTACACCGTTACAGTGTTACTTAGGAATTAAACGTTTCTGTACAATGTGTATTACACACATTTTTCTAGTAACAAGTCTGTAGTACTCCAAATGTAACAGTTGTGTAGAAAGAGACACCGTTGGTTTCATGGAAACTATCCTTGGAAGCTTAACTGGTGGTCTCAAGGGCTTATGGTCTGACAATGCATTAATAAGAAAAAAATTAAAAGCAAGTTTCCCACAAACAATCTGTTCCGCCCACCATGTTATTATGGTTTGCAGCTGAGTCCCGATTCCTGTAACATTTGTGTCAATGACAGAGCTAGACAGCGTATGTGACTGAGGTAAGGCTTGTATTTTGACTTACAAGATATGCAACCAGGGTGGCACCAAGAAACAATCATTAGTTATTCAATGCAAACCGGCTTTCGTCATCTTCAAATATAGCTGTTATGAGGTTGAAACTTCAGAGGGAACGTTTCTTTCGCATTTTTTAGTCTGATGACAAAACTGTAAGGCAGTTCTAGCCTAATTTTCACATAGAAAAATGTCAATCCGATTTTGTACGTCCCTTTGATTATATTATTCTGATATGTTGGTCTTCATAAGTGCCGATGTAATTTGAACCGACTTAATTGCTTCAAAACAGACCTATTCACAACATGGCTACTTAATCGTTGTTTCACATGCTTTTCATTTAAACCATGGTATGATATGCAGAGAATTCTCGTCTGTATTTCTTAAAGGTATTTTCTCTTACTATCCTAATTTCAAAAAATAGCCTTCATGTAGAAATGACGCACCATCAACAGACAGAGTACATGTACCAGGCTGTTCGATGGCTTAGAATTCATTATCAAACAAACAAACAAACACTATAAGAATGATTATTCCATAAACAAATAAACAAAGTGGAATCCCGTTCATTTTACAACCGGCTTAACAGGCATTCTTGCCAATGCCAAAAATCATTGCTCTGTTATTGCCTCTTTATTGCTCAATTGGATCTGTTGCAATTTGTAAGCATTAGATAAATTGACCATTGTTATGTGAAAGCAACCATCATGTGTGACGATGAGAGCTGTAAATGCATATCGTGATTATAAATGGATCATTCGAATGCCGGATATGATGCCATTAGAAAATGTCAAGTAGTATAGTTGTTGATCGTTTTGTATATTGTCTTTGGGCTTTTTATTGGAACAAAGTTTCCTGGTAATCCAGTAAGCATGTCTCTAGGTGGCTGAGCGTTCGTCATTTTTAATGTACATTGGACTCGCCATATTTGCTCTTGGAATGTTTCCTTTTTTATTGGACCAAAGGCTTTCTAATTAGCCCTCGTCGAATCGCCTTTGCACGTTGGGGTTTTATTGGCAATACGTAATCTGGCCTATGACCACCTGGCGTCGTCCATAGCCATTGGCTTGTTGAAAACGAACCATTAGATTTCCCAGAAAAGCAATCACAACAAAATTTGTTTTGTTGCAAATCCTCAGCACGTACACAGTTTGATGGTTTAAACTGGCACAGAGATCCGTCGAGGCACGTAGGGTCTAAATGTTAAACTTTGCATGTTTGTTGTTGTTGTTGCCCCTAAATTACGTGCTTATATGCTCTCCCAAGTTAAATTTGAATGTCATCGAAATTTGAATTTGGAGAGTTGTGTAATTTCACTTACCACAAATACCGTACATGTCAAAGCATTGATTTTTAGCCGATATATTGTTTAGCAGCACCTACGGGCGGCCCACGGTTTTAATCGTATTTCAAAAACTGAAGGTCAAAGTAAAATCAAGTTATTTCACTATCAGCATATACAGGTAGAACGTTTTCAAATTACTTCTGAATCAAACAACAATCTTGTGCGTTTTGTTGTACAGCTTTGCAAGATGTTTGGTAACGCCAGGAAAAAATGAAACCCTAACGTGGATTCATCAACTTATACATGTGCATGAAACACAAACGTCTGAATTATGTTTTAAATGAAGGAATGCGTCAGAAATTGTATTGCCAATTTTAACAAGGAAAAATTGGGACACTATCGATTTTGATCCCTTTCACCGCTATTTACTCTCAACAACTGTGTTTTTACATCAGTTCAGCATTTGAAGGTACACCGTTCATTCCATTGTCCTTTTATTACAGGTACATATTCCAATCAATAATTTCCATCTTTGCCTTACGATTTCTTTAGGCAATCCACCCCCTTTCACAATGCAACGACATACAAGCAAGTTAGTTAACCTTTGACCCGACAATCTTATTAAAACTTCAAACATTCGTTTCAGAGATCTGGCAGCGTGAGAACTCTTCTGAGACTCAATATCGGTTGACGTGAGACAGCGCAGCTGAGTGATTTTACTCCGCACATAAATGAGCCATTCTCCATAAGGTGGATATTGAAATACAGCCATCGAGTTATTTCACAAGCGATTGGCTACTTAAAGAGATTGATGCATGGGCAAATAACCAGATGGTAGATTCGATCTTTCTCTCTCTTTCTCTGTCTCTCTGTGGTATCCTATTGGAGCACGTTACCGCGCTGCGCGCGGTGCATTGACATGTAGAAATATACAGAAACGTAGGGAGCCCTAGTAAGGAGTGGATCATTTAGAAGTTTTTTCCCCATAATACGTTCTGTATGCATGCCAATAACATGGGTACCACCGAGGAAAATTACATTTCCTGCATTGCACATTAAGATTTCATAGGAATTGCATCACGATGGGCGCCAGTGGATACCTTAATTAAGTGCATACTAATTTGCAGTCAAGAAAACAATACACGACTGGACTAGAAATAGACAGCGATCAGTTGGTTAAAGCAGTAATCATCCCTATTGTGACTGTGGTATACTTTACGCCATCATTGTTCTTCGTTGCCATAGAAAGAAACACTCGCTCATTATGGCAGCGTCTGGACGAGCAGGACGTTCACATTCGAAGGCTACTCCCAATTTTGCTTCCCCCGGAGTGCAGGGGGACGTCTGGCAACACAAAGATAAGGTAGGTACTTTTCTGTTCTATAGAAATAGAGGTATGTACACTACATGATACTACTTAAAATATGCACCATAGGGAATACAATTATTTTCACATTTTCTGTAGATATATAAACGGCGATTCTATTCTGTAGACACGGCATCGTGGATCGGGACGTGTAGTGTAGTGTTGTTAGAAGCCATGGTAACCGGAGGTGTTTTGATGTCTTAACTATTAGAAGATGCTACCTGGCAAATTAACATTGCTAAATTGCTTCAATAATGGGCATACAGTATGACACTAAGTTTTGTTCGTTATTTCACGTCCGCTTTAATAGCCATGTATGTGTATTGTCACTGCCAGATCGCGGATCAATAATGCCTATTAGAGCAGTCAGAAATGTGACCTATTTGAGTGAAACCAACAACTTTATCATAATGCGTTTCTTAATCCGGGGTTCTCTCATACTTGAGGACAAATCATTCCATTTCCCTATTGACAATGACAGGATAAATTCTTAAATCCTTTCTCTTTCTTACTTTTAATACATGCATATTGGTACATACCGCAGGTATACTGAAGATAAGTTGGGCTAAACATGGCGTTAAACGATATGATATTACTATCCCCGATCAAATATCTCCATGGCTGATTCCTCATCTCTCCATTATCCTATTGAAAATCAAATAAATCTCAAAATCTCTCTTCCCCTTACCTCCAGTAGTGTGCAGCCGTTGAGTGGTTTATGCATGTGTATAAATTATTAGTAATGGATGGATAGTTTAACGATGAGAAATCGATGACAAATCCCGAGGTGAAGTATCTATCGGCGGTGCTTTGAAGTAGGTTTATTGTAAACATTTGAAAAGCCAATAGGGTCTATCGTATTAGCATCAAGAGAAAAGTCCAATGGACGATAACTGGATGGAGTGCCCGTTAATTGGGAAAATAAACTCGAGACCAACTCCCCAATACCGACGGTAATACATGAGTAGGTGCCCAAAACAGTGCTAAATTATCCATTTTGCCATAGGAGTCTTACTTAACTTTGTAGTGTAGGTGTAATTTGCAATGGATTAAGACAGATCGCTTTGATTATCCACAGCGGGATTTACATCAAACATTTACTCGGGTATATAAGCTACATCTGCGTAATAATTCTGAGGGGAAAAAAGCTTTGTCTTGAGAATAATTAGGGTGGTGAATTTGTGTTGTGGGCGAAAAATCTCGTAGGTTGCACTTACAGTACGTGATGTTTTAGGAGTATCATATTAAAGTTTATATATATATATATATAAATGTTTTCTGAATAATGTGATTTTTATTCAAGCTATGTTTTGTATACGTTTCTAATCATTGCTGTGTGTACAGAGAGATATTAAGACAAATGGAATGACCAACAGCATAAACATTGACAAAATAGCCTCTTTTAAAATTTATCTGCAAAACAGTTGTGAAAAACTGTGATAGGGGTACATGTAACATTTATTTTGTAACTACTGTTACGGCGTAAATAACAAATTAATTATGGATGTTAAAATGAGATCGAAAGGATCATTTTAGAGCATTTTTTTGAACACGTGTTTAAGGGTGGTTGATTTAATTTTGAGCGTCAATGAATGTCCAATAAGTTCCATACACTGCAAAAAACAGTGTTTAGCTCCTAAACACATTCTTAAGCGCCTGATTTGTCTCATTTTTTCAACTGTTTTAGCTGCTAAACAAGATTAGCTCCTAATCGTATAACATGCGTTAAACCTTTATGTGTTTGGCAATATAACCCGTTTCGGGTAGATATGAAATTTATTGAATCAGGCCAATACATATCATTAATACACATCATTAATACAGTATAATAAATAAAAAGGGAGAGTTCACTTCTGATATACCGCACTACTGATGCGTCTCCGCGCAGTTTACGGACGCCTGGTCAGTTTTGGCCCTGGTACAATCTGGATGTTGACGCCACCGCCTCACTGGGGAGGTTATAGCCCAGCATGCCGTACGAAGCGCTGAAAGCTAGCAAACGAAAATTTATTTCTCTGCCAGACCAGGAACTTTATCACTGCTTCAACCCCTAAGTGCTGGGTGCCAAGCACAGCAGGTATCGTTTATGATAACAAAAGTGATAATTTTTATAAGCTCTAGCACATTTTAACAAAAGTTTATGACCAAACAAATACATAAGTAGCGTAATATGTAAAGTGGATATACTTAAATATTAATTATAATATACATGCAGTAATACGTGATAACTTTACACAGGTTAAAACTGAGCTACATGTACATGACACATTGGCTTTGGTATAATATTGATACCTGAATTATGACACATTACTGTCATTTAGAAGGTAATTATGTCGTTATTATTTGGCCAAACCGCCAGAAATTGTATTATTGTGTCATACTGTGTTATTTTGTCGTGTTCTTGAAAGACTGGTATAGATACACAGACGGAGTCGAACTCATGTTCTCCAGCTTCGTAGGCGGGAACTCTAACCACTAAGCCATCCTATACAGTTACAGATAGATGCTGACGGTCACAACTTCAGAAATGAATGGCTTCTCGAGTTTATCCAACTCCTTCGAGTATCCGTGCTGGCTGCGTTTAGCAGTTCCACACGTTTGGCAGTTCCGCACATTTAGCAGATGTACGCGCTTAGCTGGGGAAGTACTTAGCCAATCTATTTAGCCTTGCGATAAACTTAGTACAGATTCATATACCGGTGAAGCTAAACACAGCTAAGCCTGTAACAGTGCTAAGCACGTCTGGCATTGTCCTCTGTGAGAAGCTTGACATGTTTAGCTTTTACAAATTTTCTAAATGCGTTCAGGTGCTAAACGTGTGTTATAGGCCTATGTGTTTAAAAACTAAACACTGTTTTGACAGTGTGCATTAGTGGCATAACTTTCCCCTTTCTAATGATTCAATTTTCAAAGTGTGGGTTTCAAATGTAATTTAGGGCGTCAAAGAATGACCAAAAGATCAATTTGTTAACTACAAGAAGTAGCCCCTTAAAAAGATTTATTTTATACTCGTGGGAAGCCGATCTGATTTAGGGCGTCAAAAATGGGCTAAAAATCCATCACTTAGCAGCAAAAAACCACCCTTTGTAGGGAATTACTTTTTGTAAGTGTGGGAAATTTGATTTTTGATGCCAAAGAATGACCACTGGATATATCTCTTGACAGCAAAAACTAACCCCGATCAATTTGTGGGTAGGTTTCCAAAAACAAAGTTATCCATAAGTGCTCGAAAACCTATTAATAACACTAAGACCTTTCCAATTTTGATATATCGTGCCATCAATTTCACACGTTATTCAAGGTGTAGATAGACAATTAGAATAACCCTATCGAATTATCGCTAATCTTTATCCTCAATCGATAATATTTTTATATTGTATTGCGCCCACCTAATAAATAATAGGATTAACTTTATCTTATCCATAGAACATAAAAACCAAAACACCCAGCGTGGTTTTGTAAACCTTCCTAGAAATATGATAAGAGACATAAGCTTTATCGAGAATCGAAGCAGATTTTTTTTTCAATTGAACACCCTCAAAGGTATTGTACCAAAGATATTTCCCCGTGGAAACAGAACGAAGGGCTACATTATGCGTCTTTATTTGTGCAATCCCACCCCTGCCCCCTTTTTCATGAATGGTGTCTCGAGCATTTCTCCCTTTGTCGCTCTCCCTGTTATTCCCCTTCCGACATCTCATCTCTGTCCATCCCCGAAGTATCTATTTATCTATTGTAGAGCTGGGGGGGGGGGGGGGGGGGCGCCAGGGATCGTACTGTATTTGAACAATTAATTTTTTTTTTNAGATCCTTTCTCTTTCTTACTTTTAATACATGCATATTGGTACATACCGCTGGTATACTGAAGATAAGTTGGGCTAAACATGGCGTTATACGATATGATATTACTATCCCCGATCAAATATCTCCATGGCTGATTCCTCATCTCTCCATTATCCTATTGAAAATCAAATAAATCTCAAAATCTCTCTTCCCCTTACCTCCAGTAGTGTGCAGCCGTTGAGTGGTTTATGCATGTGTATAAATTATTAGTAATGGATGGATAGTTTAACGATGAGAAATCGATGACAAATCCCGAGGTGAAGTATCTATTGGCGGTGCTTTGAAGTAGGTTTATTGTAAACATTTGAAAAGCCAATAGGGTCTATCGTATTAGCATCAAGAGAAAAGTCCAATGGACGATAACTGGATGGAGTGCCCGTTAATTGGGAAAATAAACTCGAGAACAACTCCCCAATACCGACGGTAATACATGAGTAGGTGCCCAAAACAGTGCTAAATTATCCATTTTGCCATAGGAGTCTTACTTAACTTTGTAGTGTAGGTGTAATTTGCAATGGATTAAGACAGATCGCTTTGATTATCCACAGCGGGATTTACATCAAACATTTACTCGGGTATATAAGCTACATCTGAGTAATAATTCTGAGGGGAAAAAAAGCTTTGTCTTGAGAATAATTAGGGTGGTGAATTTGTGTTGTGGGCGAAAAATCTCGTAGGTTGCACTTACGTGATGTTTTAGGAGTATCATATCAAAGTTAACATATAAATGTTTTCTGAATAATGTGATTTTTATTCAAGCCATGTTTTGTGTACGTTTCTTATCATTGCTGTGTGTACAGAGAGATATTAAGACAAATGGAATGACCAACAGCATAAACATTGACAAAATACCCTCTTTTAGAATTTATCTGCAAAGCAGTTGTGAAAAACTGTAATAGGGGTACATGTAACATTTGTTTTGTAACTACTGTTACGGCGTAAATAACAAATTAATTATGGATGTTAAAATGAGATCGAAAGGATCATTTTTAGAGTATTTTTTTTAAACACGTGTTTTTTGGGTGGCTGATTTAATTTTGAGCGTCAATGAATGTCCAATAAGTTCCATACACTGCAAAAAACAGTGTTTAGCTCCTAAACACATTCCTAAGCGACTGATTTGTCTCATTTTTTCAATTGTTTTAGCTGCTAAA